CTTTTGTTTAAGGAATGGTCAGTCTGTGTTTTAGGTTTAGAACAAAAGCTTCAAGTTCTGCAACTTTGGTCTAAGCGTCTGTCTATAGTGTTCAAGCAACAGGAAAAAACTGTAACAAATAACCGGAACTGGCTAAAAGGCAAAGACAATAACCCAGGTCATGTATCAGTCCTGTTTAGATTCTTATCTAATTGTTTACACACATCTCACTGTGTTTTTATCATGGATCTATATTAACGGTTTTTATAACGTGGGGAAAGTCCTGATGATTTGGTGGAGCTCACTCTGACTGTGACTTCTACTGTTCTACCGCCCCCTCGCGGCTGAATGTGTGAAACGCAACCATACATGACTGGTCTCATTACAGTGAAAATAACGACGTAACAACTGATATTTATCTGTTTATTAAGATGTTTATTTATAAATATCATGAACAAAAGTCTGTTGTTTGCACGTGCAGCTCCTCTGTGACACTTCCGCTGTTCTCCAGGACTCAGTGAAGATTGATCTGTCAGAACTTTATATTAGTTAGTGTTATAGAGATATGACGCAGACACAGTGAAGCCCTGATGCTGAAGGCCCCCTCTCCCCCTCTTCCTCCCCTCTATCTCCTCTCCCCCCTCCTCCCTCCCCTCTCCCTCTCCCCTCTCTCTCTCTCCTCAATGCGGCATTCATGTGCACATTGCAGGAGGGAGCTCTGTGAGAGACACTTTTTTAACTCCGTTGTGAAAATATAACGTCACGACATGAACGGATTTATTTCTCACTGAGTTGTGGTAAGTTTTCATGATTTTCAGGCCCACTTTGTATTTTGCATTTCCAGTGAAGGTCACATTCATACTGTAACGATCTTAAGTTGTTAGATATCTGTTCTCCTACATGTGTGGTAGCAGTGTAATGACGTCCTTGCCTCTGAGGGGTGTATTATCAGTGCTGTATAAATATATTTAGATATATATATATATAGTTTATGATGCACTGCCTACGGAGTCAGGATGGTCAGGATGCTGTGTGATGCTGGAGCTGGTGCTGATGCTGCGGGGCATCTCCTGAACAAACATTAGACTGTAGCCTGTAGTCTCTCAGAAATATAGAAATGATATGATCCCATAACTGGACCGTCACGGGGTGTTATTGTGAAGGCAGCTGCAGGACGTGGTAGTTCTTACTGCAGAAGAACAGCACGAACTCATGAGAAACACTCTGAACTGCATCATCTGCAAAACTAGGCTGCACTCGTACAAGGAAAGCAAGAACGTACCATGGCTTAACCCAGGGGTGTTTTATCTGAAGTTACAATGTGATTTAACTTCACGGCAGATTACAAAGTTGTTATCATTGTTTTGTTTATATACGTAGTCGGTCATCGTCCCTATCCACACTCTTTGTGGACCACCTTCTCGTTCACACTTCACCCTCATGAAGCAAAACACACTAATGAAGTCGTTATGTTTGTGTAAAAGACTGGAAAGTCCAACTGTATTTGCACACTCAACACTGCTCTTTGCTTTTGGAATATCATAATTGAAAAGGAAAGGGCGCATGCGCAGAGAAGCTTCGCGCATGTGATGTAGCCTGATCATTACATTCTTATCTAAAGCAATACATCCCACTTATATTAACCACCTACATTAATGCCGTGAATATATCTGTGTGTTCTCAGGTTTACCCCACATTTCATATTTAACACGCATTTGTGATTGTGTGGAAGTGAGCGGGAGTGAGCCCTCTGTCGCCCGTCCTATCTCTGCTCAGTGTAACTCATTATAATTAGAACAGCGCCTTTGAAGGAGTCGCGATGGTGCCGCTCGGAGATTAACATGCCACCTGCTTTTGTTGTTGTTGTGCCTCTCTCCAGGAACTCTACACACCGGGAAATGCAGCGGGGGCTTGAGGACAGCGAGGGGGCCACACACCGGACCGACCCGAGTAAGAGCCGCGGTGGGTGGGTGGGTCTGCAGGGGGGACGGAGCCCATCCAATCCATGATCCAGACAGAGGCACTCTCACCAAATTCTATCACAAATGACACAGAATTGAACTGGTTTGCGGCTGTTAATCTGCCCGTAGCGACAGGTGCTGTGCTGTAATAACGGTATTGTTGTGTATCGATATTATAATCGATCCTTGTGTGTGCGCAGCCGCTTCCCGGGAGGTGTATCCATACGCGCTGTGCAGAAGATAGTCCTGTGAATGAGGAGGCTGCTCTAGTGAAGTCATGGCCCAGTATCCCGACCCGTGGTGAGTATGTTGTGCCAAGTCCAGCTATATGTTTTGTACAATAAATCACTTTAAAGGCTATAGGAGGATTATCTATCTAGGCTATTGGTCCTCCTAATTGTCAATCTTTCTGGTGATAATGATATTGCTCGTTAAATAAGATCAGGGTGGAGAGGGCGGTTCTTTCCTAAAATTTGGGAATATCCTCTTTACCTTTTAAGTCACGAATGATCTGAACTAGGACTGAACTATAGTCTCTTTTACTTTAGTCTTGTACATCATATATCCTGCACAAAATATACTATACTTTTAACCTTTTAAAGTAGGAATATGTAAGATTTTCATGTCATGTCATATTAAAGGGCCCTAATCTGTCAAAAGGCATTAATAAAACATGTTCTTTTCCAATGCTTCTTTAACTGATAACAGTAGTTCAGAGATATTTGGATTTATAAATTAGTTTTACAGTTCCTAAATCTTGTTATTGTTTTCATTTCGATGTCCCGCCCTCCACCGTTTCACCAATCAGAAAGTCTGTGATCCGGGCGCCTGAACTCCCAGCGTGGAGCTAATCTCACTGGTAAAGTACCATGTGGCGCAGAACTAAAAAAGGTCTCGTTATGATTCTCAAATCATTAACGACAAAACAAGGAATAAAACCAGGATTTCTATATTTGTGAAAAAGGTGTTGGTTATAGATTTGTTGTTGACAAAACCCAGCTTGTCTGCATATCTGGCAACCTGAGTCAGGGAGAGTGATATAAACTATAAGGAGCCCGGGAACTGGTTCTTGTGGTTTGGAAGTTAGGTCCCCCTGCTTTAGTTATGTCAGATTAGTCATATACAGTGTTCTCCTGTCATTACATAGATACACAGTTCAGTTCTATTTCACTTACCATCTATCTAACTCCAGGTTGTGTGCAATTTTTATGTCATTTATAGATCAACAATACAGTAAACAACACAACAAACAATAATCTACTTTTGAAATGCAAATGCTAAAGCGTAAAGAGTCATTTTGGACCCCTGCAGTGATAGCCTGGTCTTACCATGTGTAAACTCTGGTCCATGGTCATCTCCTACATGTACGTCTGGTCTTACCATGTGTAAACTCTGGTCCATGATCATTTCCTACATGTACGTCTGGTCTTACCATGTGTAAACTCTGGTCCATGGTCATCTCCTACATGTACGTCTGGTCTTACCATGTGTAAACTCTGGTCCATGATCATTTCCCACATGTACGTCTGGTCTTACCATGTGTAAACTCTGGTCCATGATAATTTCCTACATGTACGTCTGGTCTTACCATGTGTAAACTCTGGTCCATGATCATTTCCTACATGTACGTCTGGTCTTACCATGTGTAAACTCTGGTCCATGATCATTTCCTACATGTACGTCTGGGTCTGATCCTAGTGGCTGCAGTTTCCTCGGTTGAATCCTCTTCGACCAATCAGAGAGCGGGGGAGGCGGGTGTTGTAGGTCGGTGTTGGTGACGTCAAGAGTTTGTGCTGAATTTGCTGGTTGTAGTTTGTCGGAGAATGCGATAGTAAAATAATCTGTTCTGGTTCAATCCAAATATCAGGAAACTGAAGCCGGAGCAAGAGGAATGTTTAGTAAATGTCATTGAAGCAAAGATGTTGTGGCTCTACTCCCCACGGGCTCCGTTAGTGGCAAAGGAGATGGCTAAAGCTAGGCTACATGCTAAAGCTAGGCTACATGCTAAAGCTAGGCTAAATGCCAAAAGCCTCACTCACTCGTGCGCATTACGTACATCACAGTAAACTCCGATCCAATCGTTTCAATCTGCAAAAGGAGACCCTCCCACCTGTTAACGGAGTCAATGGAGCAAATCCAGAGCTTATTACAAAATGAAATTTGTACAATGGTGCGGTAAGACCAGGCTACTGCAGTGAAGCATAAGATAAAAATATGAATTAATTATTGTATGAGTTAAGCCAGGAGATCGTGGCTTGATTCCTTTTCCCTTTATTATTGATGAAGTCAGTCTAACGCTTGAATATAAACTGTAGGCCATATTTCTTCGTTCTCACTCTTGATTTGATCATCTGGAGCCCGGCCACACCCGCCCCCGCCCCCTCCCTGGGCAGTTGGAAGACGTATGGGTCCGGGCCTCCACTCCACTTTGCTGAACACGCTGGAATATTTAGCTTAATTGCCGCTTTGTGGCTGTTTATCTCGGGCCATTTCACCTACAGAGGAATAATGTCACTCACTGTACTCTTGTCTACACACTGAGCCATGATGAAACCCAGGGGGAACGGGGAGAACATGCAAAAATACAGGAAGGGACACATGCGATTTGAGGGGGGATCGATAGTTCTAAAGTTGCATTATGAAGTCATTAGGCTGAGGTAGAAGTGGGCGAGTGCAGCGGTGATCAGTCGGGTCTGGAGGCAGGGATTATTGTCATGTTACGAGAAACCAAAATGTGAAGTCAATAGATTGAAACCAATATTCTTCTGCTGTAAAGTATACGCCTTCATTACCACGAAAATGCTCAAAAATCAATACATCTACATTTTTCTAAACAATGGTGTTTCTACTACTGCTCTGTCTATAGGTCAAATGTATTAGTTAAGGAATACATTTTAAGTTTTTCATGTTTTAGAATGTGAAATGGATGGATAGATACTTTATTGATCCCCGTAGGAGAAATTCAGGTGTCCAGTAGCAGCAAAAATGAAATAGATCATTCTAAAAAGCTAATAATAGCATTAGCTTTCAAGTCACAGCAGCAGAGGTGGAGTAGTGTCTGGGTGGAGCAGGATGGGTCACAGCAGCAGAGGTGGAGTAGCCTCTGGGTGGAGGAGGACGGGTCACGAGGTGGAGTAGCCTCTGGGCTGAGCAGCAGAGGTGGAGTAGCCTCTGGGTGGAGCAGGACGGGTCACAGCAGCAGAGGTGGAGTAGTCTCTGGGTGGAGCAGCAGAGGTGGAGTAGCCTCTGGGTGGAGCAGGACGGGTCACAGCAGCAGAGGTGGAGTAGCCTCTGGGTGGAGCAGGACGGGTCACAGCAGCAGAGGTGGAGTAGCCTCTGGGTGGAGCAGGACAGGTCACAGCAGCAGAGGTGGAGTAGTCTCTGGGTGAAGCAGGACAGGTCACAGCAGCAGAGGTGGAGTAGCCTCTGGGTGGAGCAGGACGGGTCAAAGCAGCAGAGGTGGAGTAGCCTCTGGGTGGAGCAGGACAGGTCACACCAGCAGAGGTGGAGTAGTCTCTGGGCTGAGCAGCAGAGGTGGAGTAGCCTCTGGGTGGAGCAGGACGGGTCACAGCAGCAGAGGTGGAGTAGTCTCTGGGTGGAGAGCAGAGGTGGAGTAGCCTCTGGGTGGAGCAGGACAGGTCACAACAGCAGAGGTGGAGTAGCCTCTGGGTGAAGCAGGACAGGTCACAGCAGCAGAGGTGGAGTAGCCTCTGGGTGAAGCAGGACAGGTCACAGCAGCAGAGGTGGAGTAGCCTCTGGGTGAAGCAGGACAGGTCACAGCAGCAGAGGTGGAGTAGCCTCTGGGTGAAGCAGGACAGGTCACAGCAGCAGAGGTGGAGTAGCCTCTGGGTGAAGCAGGACGGGGCACAGCAGCAGAGGTGGAGTAGCCTCTGGGTGAAGCAGGACAGGTCACAGCAGCAGAGGTGGAGTAGCCTCTGGGTGGAGCAGGACGGGGCACAGCAGCAGAGGTGGAGTAGCCTCTGGGTGAAGCAGGACAGGTCACAGCAGCAGAGGTGGAGTAGCCTCTGGGGGGAGCAGGACGGGTCACAGCAGCAGAGGTGGAGTAGCCTCTGGGGGGAGCAGGACGGGTCACAGCAGCAGAGGTGGAGTAGCCTCTGGGGGGAGCAGGACGGGTCACAGCAGCAGAGGTGGAGTAGCCTCTGGGGGGAGCAGGACGGGTCACAGCAGCAGAGGTGGAGTAGCCTCTGGGGGGAGCAGGACGGGTCACAGCAGCAGAGGTGGAGTAGTCTCTGGGTGGAGCAGGACGGGTCACAGCAGCAGAGGTGGAGTAGCCTCTGGGTGAAGCAGGACAGGTCACAGCAGCAGAGGTGGAGTAGCCTCTGGGTGGAGCAGGACGGGGCACAGCAGCAGAGGTGGAGTAGCCTCTGGGTGAAGCAGGACAGGTCACAGCAGCAGAGGTGGAGTAGCCTCTGGGGGGAGCAGGACGGGTCACAGCAGCAGAGGTGGAGTAGCCTCTGGGGGGAGCAGGACGGGTCACAGCAGCAGAGGTGGAGTAGCCTCTGGGGGGAGCAGGACGGGTCACAGCAGCAGAGGTGGAGTAGCCTCTGGGGGGAGCAGGACGGGTCACAGCAGCAGAGGTGGAGTAGTCTCTGGGTGGAGCAGGACGGGTCACAGCAGCAGAGGTGGAGTAGCCTCTGGGTGGAGCAGGACGGGTCACAGCAGCAGAGGTGGAGTAGTCTCTGGGTGGAGCAGGACGGGTCACAGCAGCAGAGGTGGAGTAGCCTCTGGGTGGAGCAGGACGGGTCACAGCAGCAGAGGTGGAGTAGTCTCTGGGTGGAGCAGGACGGGTCACAGCAGCAGAGGTGGAGTAGCCTCTGGGTGGAGCAGGACGGGTCACAGCAGCAGAGGTGGAGCAGCCGCTTGGTTCAGACCATTCTCTGCTCTAGTCCAAAGTAAAATGCTTAATTAGCATATTTAAAAAAAGTTAGCATTCCTCCAGTGGATTTTCACCTGATCCACTTGGTTTGGACCATAAATCCTCTCTGCTCTGGTTTAGACCAGTGTAAAACCATGAACACTGTACTGCAGCAACATCTCAGGCAGAAAAAAGCAAGAAGATAAATTCTATAGCACAAAACAACAACTGTTTCAGAGCTACTTAGGACTTGCAGCCGTTATCCAGCGCATTCAAAATTAAAACCTATCTTTAAACTTTTAAACCTAAAGTCAAAAGAAACACTATCCACAGTATAAAATATATATGGTGAAACAAGTATAAAGGTAAATTTCTCCATTGTGAGATCAATATTGTATATCTTATCTTAAAGGGTAAAAAATGCTTTCCTCCTGCAACTCCCTCTGCGGCCACTAGAGGCCGACGATATATGTTTGTTTTGTTCCAAATTTGAAAATGACTGTAAGAACGCCATTTCTCCTGAGAAATGACTAAAACTAACAGGAGCTTTACATTTATGAGTGTGATGTCATAAATGATATTATTTCAGGACTGAGACATGAGCTTTAAGACAGAAGGGGGCGGAGTTACACATTTGTGCTATAAGTTGATATTAGCTTGAAAATCACAAACTGGGAATTATCCATGGCTCACATTGGTTCTTTATGTCACGTCTTCAGACCCATTTTTATTCTCTGGTTTTAACACCACATGAGTTGAGATCCTCTGTCTTTTATTTGCTTTTATTTTGATGCATTTTTTTAATATTGAATTGTTTTTTATTATTACTTTTTTTCTAATTTGATTGCTTTTATTTATTCAATTTCTTTTTCTGGTATATTCTCAGTGGCCGTTATTCTGTGCAGAATTTTTGAAACTGTTTACAAAATGTGCTTTATAAATAATTCAGATTGGATTGGGTTTTCCCGTGTGTATGAAAACGGTTTTACATAATCAATATCCAATTGGGTTTCGTATTGGATTAGGAATTAGATTTACTGCTATTGACCCCGAGGGGAAAGGACTGGACAGGTGTCGAGTGGCAGACGACGTAGATGTTTGTGTAAAACAGCTGAAATGAAAAAGCATTCGCAAAAAGAACATTACAGAATTACTTTTAAAACTATAGAACTCTCAGTCTTTGCCATAGTCTATAACTGTGTCAGACCTGATTATTATGAACGCGCTAAAAGGGCCGTTCAGAGATAAAAGGAATCACATTTTGAAGCAAATACATTGAAAATATTATGTCAAGACAAAGCAGAAGTTCTGGCGTTTTTTTTATTTTAATTTTTTTATTTAAATCAAATCAAATACATTTTATTTGTATCGCCCGAAATCACAACAACAGTCGTCTCAAGGGGCGTCACAGAACCGCCAACTCCCAACGGCTGTGGACCAGTCCTCAGGTCCAGGGAGTCAGGGTTTGGAGTCCCACCAGCGCGTCATGAAACAGAGAGAGGGACAAAATGGTCAGGGGTTTCTCAACTGATTCAGACTAATGTTGGTGTTCTGAGTCCGAATATAACATGCATTTTGCTCTATCAGGTCAACTTTGTGAGATACAGCCATAGTGTTACGGATTATGTACGTCTACGTTATTATGAGTGGAGGGTGAGAGTAGCTCAGTTGGTAGAGCATTGGCCTTTGGGCCTGAAGGTCGTGGGTTCAAGCCCACCATAAGACCTACTTCACGACTCCCACTGATGACGTTGTGTCCTTGGGCAAGACACTTAACCCCACTTTGCCTGAAGCTCCCACTGAAAGATCTCAGCTCCTGTGGACTCAGCACCTGCAGGAGGATCAGTGAGGGGCTGGTGCTCTGTGAACTGGGTGCAGCTCTGACTGCCACCACCCTGACCCAGAAATGGATTAAGGGGAAGTGGATGGATGGACGTTATTATGAATTCTGCTTATCAAATTTGATGGAGTAAATAAAAACTGAATGACTTTGGATACGTTGACTTTTATTTCTTGAGGAAAACGGAAAAAACGTCAAGGGTTTCTCAGCTGATGACCCGCAGAAATTAGTTTTTTACGCAAAATCGATTTAACAAAATATTTCTGTAGCAAAAAATCCTGACCTGATTGAGCAAAACCAAGGTCATTTTCAGACTCAGAGCCTCAACATTAGTTCAGCTGAAAACCCTGGACTATTTTCAACAAATATTTTTTGTTACCCAGTGTTATCCAAGCGTATTGATAGGAATTGGTGGTATGGTGTAAGTTAACCCGAGCGAGAGGAGAGAGGCAAAATAACAATGACTAACAAAATTGAAGATAATAACAGCAATAGCGACGATGGTGATGATGATGATGAAGATAACAATTACGACAATACTATCGTCCATATGGTGCATTAAAAGACTGTCTGAGATGCCAATACTATAGTCCATATGGTGCATTAAAAGACTGTCTGAGATGCCAATACTATAGTCCATATGGTGCATTAAAAGACTGTCTGAGATGCCAATACTATAGTCCATATGATGCATTAAAAGACTGCCTGAGATGCATGTGCGAAGAGAGCCATATGCATTATTTATTATACAATGTTTATTATTTAATGTCATTATTCTTATTTATTATCGTTGCTTTCTCTCCATCACAGTTCCCCCGTTGTTTAGTGTGCAACATGTTAAGGTTGAACATAAAGTCTGTGCAGGATATAATTATGTACCGAAAAAAACAAAAAAAAGGAGGAGAAATTACCAAAACAATTTTTTTTATGAAACAAGTATAATGTTTTAAAATCCAGAAAACTGCTCAGAGTGATGTCATAGTGGGGCAATGACATCATACTTTTACAGGACTGAGACTGGAGCGTTTAGACAGAAAGGGGCGGAGCTACATGTTTGTGCCAGAAGGACTTGATATTAGCGTGGATGGATCTAAAATCAGATTCATTGTATTTGCCATTTGCAGTAAAACCACAATGGAATACATTTGCAAAAGTCCCCAGTGTGCACAAGACAAGTTCATAAATAAACAAGGTTAGAAGTTCTGGAGGTTCTTTATGAATCCAGATATTAAAACCGAGCACTTAGAATAATCAGTGACTCTTCTGGCTACCCTGGAAAAGCCTTGTTCCAGCTTCTTCCCTCTGGCAGAAGATATCGTTCACTGAGATGCAGATGATATGCTAAAATGCTAACAGCTTCTTCCCACGAGCCGTAATCAGTTTGAACAGAGAACTTTAACTTCTGTGTACAGAAATAAAACTCCAGGTCTGTTTTTGATGGGGAACACTAAGTAAAAATGACAAAAAAGTGGATTATCTAATTTAAAACGCTGTCATTTTGCCCCTTCGCTGTCTCGCAGGGCGCCATGGGTGACGGTGGATCACGAGTACCTTGGCCCAAAGAGCTTCCAGGCCTCTCGCGGCACATCTGTCCTGGAGGTGAAGCAGCTGGTGTATGAGGAGACCGACCTGCCTGTCCCGGAGCAACGGCTGGTCCACAGGGGTAGAGTGGTGAGTTTACAAAGCCTCATGACCCCCATCCCGTGCCTCTGCCCCAGGACAGTGGTTCTTAGCAACAGTAGTCTCCTTGTTAGAAGCAGCTGATGCAGTCATGGTCATTGGCACGCTGACAGTTCTAACACAAGTAACAATTGTGTAAAAATATAGTGTTTCATTCATGCTGCAATCTCACTCCGGGCCTGTGGGGGTGTACCAGGAAAGAGAATTACCCAGTGGTTTTTTAAAGCGTCTTCTTTCCTCTCCACAAAGTCTTTTCAGGATGGTCACCCCTGTCCTAACGCTATGTTCCAGATGCTGTCGATGCTGAGAGGAGTATATTTTTTCGGACCAGTCTAGTTTAGCCGCTGTGGACTGTTGAATGCACTTGTTAAATGAATGGGGCTAGTGCAGATAATGAATCAGCAAATGCGTTTTTTCACATATTCTTGCCATCACGGCCATTTTGAAGAAGCCCTCAGAAGTCAAAAGTGGTGGCACATTAGTTTAGATGGTGGAGAAAGGCGTGACTAAGGCTGTTAATATTTACAGTCTATGGTTACACTTCACAAAGGTAAAAGACAAAAGACAGTTCGAATCAAGTGTTTTTTAATCTCAGAGCAACATTTGTCAGAAGCAGAAACGTCTGATTTCAAGGGCGATAGAAAAAGGTCTCACTGGAGCAGGGTTTATGAGATTGTATCTTCCTTCCCGAGTCTTTTGTTCAAGGTGTTATTGATATGTTGGGAAAAGAAAAAACCATTGTGTTCTGTAACTGACAAAGAAATGTGCTTTGGGCGACTGTTGTTATAAAATATGGCATCGTGGATTATCCTTATTTTATGTTTTGGACTGTGGTAATCCCAGTATTTATTGAAAACGTGTCAAAAGAAGAATACGTTATGCCACAGTTATTACAAAAGCAGTGGATTTTATATTATTTGTTTCCATTTGTGCCAAAATGTCTACACCACGCTGCAGTGTTTTGTATATAACAGATCAGAGACTACAAAGTCAGTTAAAAGCAAAGAAAGGAAGGAAAGTCAGAGCGATGTTGCCCAAAATACAGGAGAATATATATTACTCAAACAATTCAATTCAATTTATTCTTGTATAGCACTAAATCACAACAGTAGTTTTCTCACAGGACTTTACAAAACCGTTGAAATCACCAACACAAATATCAAACAGTTCAACACAAGAAGTGCAACAATAAAAACACACAGAGGGGTCCATACGGGGCAGAGACCAATGTCCAGAAATGAGGATTAATGTCCAGAAATGTGGTTAAATGTAGTGTGTTCTGGATCATCACCACAGTCCTTTTAGTTAGACCCTAAAACAGTCCAACAGACCCTCCTGCATCAGCAAGGAAAAACTCTAAACATGTATGAATTACTCCAAAACCAATGGGAAAACAATAACATTTTTTGAGTTGCATATTTAAAACCTGACCTGATGTTTTAGTTTTTCTTTTTCTTTTTTTTTTTACATATGAAGCTGGAAAACCTGTATATTTAAATGTGTTACTTTCATCTCTCTGCAGCACTTTGGAAACTTGTTTTATAAAATGTGCAATAAATAAAGTGGATTGGATTAAAGGCATCAACAAGAAAAAAAGGGAAGAGAGGATTCATGGTTTTACACTGGTCCAGACCAGAGCGGAGAGGATTCATGGTTTTACACTGGTCCAGACCAGAGCAGAGAGGATTCATGGTCTGAACCAAGCAGATCAGGCGAAAATCCACTGGAGGAATGCTAACTTTTAGAAAAATGCTAACGAAGCATTTAGCATTTTACTTTAGACCAGAGCAGAGAAAATGGTCTGAACCAAGAGGCTGCTCCTCTGCTGCTGTGACCTGAAGGACTGTTGCTTATTATTACTATTATTAGCCTTTTAGAATTATCAATGTATTTGTTTTGTGGATTGATGTGTTTTTGTTGCTACTGGACACCTGCTTTTCTCCAACAGGGATTAATAAAGTATCTATCTACAGTGTATCTATCTAATAACTCTAATATAGATTTACGTACTGATTCGTAAGCCGACTCTTACTACTGCGATATCTCCTGTAATCATCAAACCCATGTCTCCTTAACAGGCGGATGTAGAGAATGCAGAGTATGACGCCTGTGTGCAGCTGTATCTACGGTCAGTATGTTTCCTGGACTGGCCCTCGCTGCAACGGCTGTGATTGAGAACAGCAGGTGGTGGTCAGCAGGAGCCCTCTGCCATGAGCCAGCCCCACCTAAATAAACAAGAGTCTGCTAAAAGTAGCGACCCCCACGGAGCCGCATTCTGGCAGGGCCGTCTTTAATCCCGCTACTTTCTCTTTCCACTAATTCGATTGAAGTGTGCTGTGTTTGGAGAGTATGGATTTCAAAGGCCCTCGCACTGGCAGGTCCAAGGATTGAGTGTGGGTTAGTGTGGGTTAGTGTGGGCAAGGGGCCAGAAGTCGTTTTAGGAGACAAATGTGATGCTTTGCCATGTCACTTATAGTTAATGTGGAAATATCTGTACTTTTAGAAACATCTGTGGTTAGAGAGTTTGAATGGGTTTGTTTTGAGGCTTTTAGCTGGACTAGAACATGCCCAGGAGGGATTGTGAATCTCATCGTGTCTATTTCTATAGTCCAAAGCTTGAAGCGGTTTACTCACACTGACCCAGCCCCTTATACATGAATGAATACAGTACATATATGAGGCACAGATACTATTTTAAGATTGTTGCGGCAATGTGGTCAGAAAAAAAATGTCTTCAAACCAGCGAAATATTCAAGAAGCAGTCACATAAGCAACGAGAAAAGCCCCCGTAAGAAGCTGCTCCTTGTCCCACTTCCGAGATTTACTGAACAAGACTTAATTCTGGAAAACTGAAGTTGGGAAAAATCCTATGTGGACATTTTTAGAACACAAAAAATATGGTCTCAAATGTGTTTTTTTATAGAAACAAATGAGAGACCATGTATGGGGCAGGTATTGATGATTACCGTAAATTCCGGACTATAAGCCACGGCTTTTTTCCTGCATTTTGAAGGCTGCGGCTTATAGTGAGGTGCGGCTTATTTTATTTTTTTGGCAGTAGACCAAGTTCACAAAAGTCACAGAGATAATTTTTAACATCTTTGTGTAAATATCTCATATACTAAATAGTTTTTCAATATTACAATGTGGGACAGGTGCGGCTTTCTAAAAATTAGAGTCTGCGGTGCCTTATGGTCAGGAAAATATTCTGTATTTTCTGTCTGTTTTTATGGTGTGGAACTTCAACCTAAAACAAATAGTTCAGGAACAAGTTTTAATTAATATTTGGGGCTATACAAGAATAAGTAGTTGTTGTTGATGTCCGACATTCATATGTTGTAGCTTTTTGCTAATTTGATGATTGACAAATTTAATAAAATCCACTACTTCCTCACTCTCAGGCAGTTTGGTGCTGTTCATGTGAAACAATGGACTACTAAACCCTGTGTATGTAACTTAAATTGCAATGCAATGTTACTGATGTCGCCATTTTCGTTGTATGGCCTGGATTAGCCTGCATTAGCAGTATTTTTCAGCTGTGTGTGGGGGCTGCTCTTCACCTGTCCCAGTGTGTTCAAAGGTAAAGGTGCACTTAATTAATTCCTGCAGGGCCATTCATGGACAAATGCCCACAATTGTAATGCGCTTTGTGACTCCGGTCTGTGAAAAGCATTATATAAATAAAGATGAGTTACTTATCCATTTGACCTAGCCTAATGCCACTAGGAGCAGGAGTCTGTCAGGAGCAGTAGTCGCCGTAGGTGATGGCGAGTCCAGCCCATGGATCTATTATAGAATCTCGATGGGGTATTACTAGCTTAAAGCTCTTCCACCCAGGGACACAGGAGGGCGCCCGTGGTACTGCAGACTAAATTTATGCGAGCCACCCAGAACAATCTCCCATGAAACTCATCCATCCATCCATTTTCTACCCTTTAATCCATTTCTGGGTCAGGGGGGTGGCAGTCAGAGATGCCACCCAAGTCTCATAGCACCAGCCCCTCACTGACCCTCTGCAGGTGGTGAGTCCACAGGAGGACGGCTGCTCTCTGAGTGTGAGCATAGCCTTGATCTTTCAGTGGGGGCTTTGGGCAAAGTGGGGTTAAGTGTCTTGCCCAAGGACACAACGACAGCAGTCATCAGTGGGAGTCGGTGGAGAAGGTGCAGAGGTGGGAATTGAACCCACGACCTTCAGGCCAATGCTCTACCAACTGAGCTACTGTCCATGAAACTCAATGCAACCTAAAACAGCTCAACCTCAGCTGACAGAGAACTTACAGCTTTCATAAAAGAGGATTTTGTGGGGACTTTAGTGTCCCTTGTCTTCCTGAACTTTTTTTCCTCTTAAATCTTTCGGTTTGCTCTAACTCCTACTCTATCGCCACTCTGATCAGCAGCTTTGATTGGTCAGAGTGCGGCTGAGCCCCTCTGTGCATGTGCATGAAAGCCACACCCGCGTATTTGGCGCAACACATCATGGGAGCTTGTCCACTGCGCAGAACAGGGAGGACCAGACAATGCCCAAATATGGGCGAGTTACACACATTTTTCGGCGCCCGTGCCGGAAAATGCGCCACTGAGCACGTCATCTTGGATCGCCGGGGCTTGGCGCAGACCCAGAGGATGCCCAAATATGGCAAAATGGCGAAGCCCATGTATGTCCCATGCGCTACTGAGCACAAGCCATTGATTTGAACACGCAATCCTGGATCACTTGAGCTTGGTCCAGCCCAAGTTGATGGCTGATTTGTTCACAATAGATATATACTTTATTGATCCCCCGTCGGAGAAATTAAGTTGTCCTGTTGCAGATAAAAATCAAAAATAAAATTGATCATTCCAAAAAGCTAACTAGCTAAAAGTAATAAACAGCAACAGCCCTTCAGGTCACAGTAGCAGAGATGGAGTAGCCTCTGGGTGGAGCAGGAAGGTCACAGTAGCAGAGGTGGAGTAGCCTCTGGGTGGAGCAGGAAGGTCACAGTATTTTATCTGCTCTAGTCCAAAGTAAAATGCTAAATGCTTCATTAGCATTTTTCAAAAAGTCAGCACTCCTCCGGTCGATTTTCACCTGATCTGCTTGGTTCGGACCATGAATCCTTTCTGCTCCGGTCTGGACCAGTGCAAAACCATGAACCCTGTACTGCAGCAACATTTCAGGTAGAAAAAAGCAAGAAAAACAAAACATAAAGCACAAAACCCACACAAAATATGTACTTTTACAAGACTCTTTCTGAATTATTACTGAGAAAATATCAGTTAGGTACATGTGTCATGGCCTCACATCAAAGTACATCTGAGACATCTTAGTGCCTTATCAACCAACTCTGAGGAGGACAGGGACTAAACAGATTAAGGACTAAACATGGGGAGGCAGTCATTCAAATGTATGCACCTAAAATCTGGCTGTCTTCCTGGAAATGTAAGACAGGTTTCTTCTCTGACAATGTCAATATTAAAATCCAGGTTAAAATCAGTTCTATTTTCTGAAACAACTGAAGGATTTTATCTTTTTAATGCACTGTGATTATTCATGATTTCAATGTGATTGTCTCTATATTGTTTTGTTCAGCACTTTGAATTGCCTCGTGTATTAACTGTGCCACTGCTATACAAATTAAATTGACTTGCCTTGGCCAAAGTTTCAGATGACTTTGGTAACTTTCTCCAGCCTGAGTTCCAGTAAACACACAAACAGCGGCGGCCATGGCTCCGTCGGGGGTCAGTCCCTGGAGGCGGGACGGAGCCTTTTGTCCCTAAAGAACAATTATCCTGTTATTCTTCTCTTTCATCACCTGTTTTGACCATCAGCTTCTCACCAGAGTCATGGGTCCAATGGAACTGGAGCCAAAGTCTTCAACTCACCGCCAACTAATATGATGTAAATGCTGAATTCAAACTTTCTTTACTTCCTTGGTTGGCTACACTGCACAAAGTAATGAAAAGTAAGTCAAAATTGTATCAAATTTGGAAAATGGTATCTTAATTTGGGCACTGAATTGCCACTGGGACAATGCAAAATGATCTAGTTTTAAAGAGATACGAGAAATAAAAAAAATAAAGCTTTATCCCATTGGAGAATCTTGTCAAAAGACAGAATGTGTTCAGATTAAAGAAGCTATACCCGATTTTTTTTCTAAGTAGTTCATAAAAATGCTTTTTACTACATACAAGTTGTATCATAATACATAATTTAATTGAAAACTTGAGGTCATTGATTCCACTGTGTATGAAATTCAGGCAGTGAAAAGTGCTGAGTAGAGTCTGAGCGGGACGCTCGTTCTCCTCCGCTCACAGAACAAGAAGCGACCAGTCTGCGTCCTCTAGTCTCTACAGCGCTGCTTAACACCAGGGCTTCGACTTTAAAATTCGAATATAATTCTAAAATAAAAAAATATATACATATTTGAACAAATATTAGACAACCCTTATAATTAGAAATGTATTTAATGACTGCAAATAAAATAGTTAGCTCCCAAAGGTTTCACCGGGACGTGCTAGGCAGGTAACAGCTAAGCTAGCTAGCTGTTTCATGGTAACTTCCGGGTTTTTCGCAATCGCTTTTTGTCACTTTAAAACAGTATTTTTGTCATGAAAACGTTGACAGCAAATTCTGAAATCGTCCGTGCATGTGTATTAAGGATGTATATGTATACTGTATTGTCCGATTAACGTTTAATGGTGTTGATTGATTGATATGTAGATTGTATGTTGATTATTTGTTTATTGAGCGTGGCTAGCTCCGCTAGCTTCTCTACACAGACAAGTGTGCAGAAAAACTGCACGATGTAGTGACAGGCGCTGATAGCTTGTTGTACTTGCAAAGTAATGGCAGTATTTTACACACCTGAATTACAAACAGAGATTGCATTGGGGCTGCGGTCATTACTGGTTTGAGAGTTCTGTTATCAAGAAAAAATGATCGGAAGAATTGCATTCAAGTCAATGGAGTGTTCTACTGCTGTGAGGAGCTGTATAATAAATTATAATTAAATATTAGAATATATTCTAATGTTTAAATTAAAGGCGCTATACCCGTTTCTGCAATGTTTGAATGTTTAGCACCGCCCCCCAACTCGCTCAATGGCTTCTCATTTCCCCTACGCTCTCATAACACAGAGCCACCTAGTTTTATTTGCGATCTGATACGTATGCTAACATTAGCATTAGCGCA